GAGGCAACCCGGGTCCCGCGGGTGCTGGTTGCAGAGGAGGCGGTAATCCAGGCGGCAGCGCCGGCGGTTGGGGCGCTGGCAGTGGCGCCGCAGGCTGAACCGGCTGGGCAGGCACGGCCGGCTGTGCCGGGCGCGGCACCGGTGGTGGAATGACAGGACCCAGACGATCCGCGATGCGATCGTCCACCATCTGGTGCATGGCGTTGAAAACTTCTGTCACCGTCCTCATGAGATCCTGCACCGACCTCTCGAGCTCCTGGATCCTGCCATCCTGGGATGCCCCCCAGCCTGGCTGCTCTTCCCGCTCGTCTCGTCCGGTCGCTCTCTCCTCCGGCCAAAACTCGTCCTCCCCTCGATAAGCCACAGCCGGGCAACTCCGGGGTCTTTCAGGATAAGATCCCGGTTCAAAAAGGCTTTCTCGGGGCCCACTGCCCCGATGAACAAACGTTTCCCTGGTGCCTTGGGTATCGAACATAGTCCAATCCTCTGAGGCTTTGACCTCTTGTTTTCCCCAATGCGATGGGGTAGGAGGAGGCCAAGGAATAGTCTCATGCCTCGGGATCGCTCCCCCAACGGCACCTCGGGCTTCCATGTAGTCCGATGTTAAGGCAGTGGCCGGGACGGCACCTCGGTCCTCTGCCCAGAAAAAGGATTTCCCTTCGGCCCCGCTCATGATCGATGCCAGACTCGGGGTGAGGGGGAAAGAGGATTCTGGACAAAATGTCAGACCCCCAAAGCAGGAGAACAAACCCACGTTCCAAAGAAGTAAGATTTATTTCCAAAGCATGGTTGATCATGAACATACAGAGAATTGTCCAGAATGACTACAATACACAGGGGCAGTATAATATAGGAACTTCAAACTTGGTTAACCCAATGGGCTAAACTCCCTCGCAAGGGAGTTGATTAGAAAAGGCGCGAAGCAGCCTGAGAACTCCAACTGCTCATACCATAAACACAAGCTCAGTTCACACGGGAATCTAATGAAGCAAGGCAAGAAGACATAACACTCCAACGTCCACCTGTAGGAGAAGCTTGGCAGTTACAGTCGCATACCAGAAGAGAATAACACGGGGAGGGAGGGAAGAGGGACACATCCCAGAGAAATGGCAGCTCGCTGACAGTGCCTGTCCTTCCTCCCCAGTGGGGACCCAAGCTTGCTTGCTTGTCTCCTCCTCCTCTCATGCGTTGTATTCAAGCAGGCTCCCCATGGCTTGGCACGTTTCCAGGACTCTGTCAGGGGGCTGTGTCTTGCTGTCTGGGGTTTTATTTTTTGGTCTCTCTGCTCACGGTTCCAGTTTTCCTTCTGGCTGAAAGCGGCAGGTGTTTAAGCATCAAAGAATTAATTGGACTGGCAAGGAAGTAGCCTTGGAAACTGAGCTAGACTCCTTCCGGAGTACTTCCTTGCCATGCCTAGGGGGGATCGGCCCCTGTCTCTTGAATCCCCTGCTGCCGCTCACACGGTGGGTTGGGTGGCTGGGAAACTGCTGTGGTGGGTTGAGGGTCTGTGGGACCCCCCAGGGGTCTGATGAAATGAGCTGGAAAGCCTGGGCTCTCGGAAGAGTCAGGAGGCCCTAGGAAGAGGCGGACAAAAAGGCATCGGAGACGAACAGGGTCAGGGGCTCCATCCGAGCAAACTGCAATCTCCCCTCACGTGCTCTGCTTGCTGCCTGGTTTCGATGCTGATTTCATACTGTGGGTTTTGCAGGTTTTTGTATTAAAATACTGAGGACAGGGTTTATTTAGATATTGTTACTTACATATATTTTGATTTGGAACGGTATCATTTATCATTTTATGGTATTAGCTGCCTCAGGCAGATTTTAGAATTACTGAAATATACTTTGTTTTTAAATGGTATTGTTTTTTCTTTTGCTTGTTGCTATTAGCCACTGAAGGTCAATTTGGAAAATATGGAGTAGGAGTATTTTGGGTAATTAATAGCAGAATAACCCTCGCTTCAGCATTGTGATGCATGACAGCCCGAGACTAGACAGTGGCCAGTGGGGCACAGGGGGTCTTTCGCCCGGGGGGGCCTGCCTTTCTCCGGGGCCTTCCTGGGGCCTTTAGCAGACAGGAACTGACAATATGTTGAACTCTAGAGATGGGTATAAGAGGCCAGATCAGGCTGAGCTACTTTGGACGTCTCCTCTTGGCCACAAGCTGAAGAATTACCTGCCTCACTAGTTGGTTTTGGAGACAAATATAACTATAGAGTTAGGTTACTTAATGGAACATGCCCTGTGCATTTGAATGGTGATAATCCCGGGGTTGAATGTCTGGTCGCCTGAGATTCAGCACTTCCTCACTCTCTCACCTGCCCCTTCTCTCCTTCACAGCTGAATCCTTTAAAGAGTTTGCTGAGCTGCTCCAGGAGGTGGAGCTGGAGAGGTCGATGATGGTAAGGAAGCCCTTCCTCCACCCCCACCCCCCCTTAATGGCTACAAATGTGTGGAAGACCCAGAGCTGGAGAACCTGGTGGACTGGGAATGAGCACCACTCCTCTCGTTCTTTCCTTCCCATCCCGTCAGAGCTCGCCCTGAAGACTTTATGAGTTCTCAGTAGCAAATGCCTCCATTTTGGTGATCGGTTTGTGTTGCTGTATCTAATCATCAACTAGGTGGCCCCTGAGTGGACCTTGAATGCTGCACGGGGGGAGGGGGAGCCCCTGATGGGCAAGGGATGGGCCTCTGACCACTAGAGGGTGGTAACTCCAGTGGACAGAGAAAAATGACTTCATAAATCAAAAAGACCCCCCCCCAAAAGGCTCCACTCTTAACCTCATGAGGACTGAACGTGCTTCTGAAAAGGCACTAAGAACAGCTGCGTGTCAGTTGAAGGACAGGAATGAGAGGGACAGGAGTCCCCTCTGCAGGCTGAGTCCCCTCAGAACTCATGGTATCCTGAAGGGAGAGACTTTGGGGTGGGATTCAGGATCTTCTCCCCACCCGGTGATTCCTTCCGGGGCTCCGGCTTGTGTCTGTGGGGAAAGCAGCTGGTCACTCTGCAGGGGACCAAAAGAGCCCAGCTGGCGGTGGAGAAGGAAGGAAGGCCCCTTCCTCCTGGCTCCTGAGGGTGCTGCAGGGAAAGGACTGGGCGTCAGGGAAAAGGAACTGGGGGGGGGGAGACCCTCTGATAGCCAGAGGGGGGCTAAATGAGCTCCATGAAGAATGAAACATGGAACGCAGCTGAGGGGCTGGTCAGTTGTATTTATTGACTTTACCCTGCTTTTCTCCCCAAAAGGGAACTGGCACGGCTTAAAGGCCACTGAAGAGAAGAGTTTGGAGGAGTGGGGGGGCGGCGGCTCCAAATTGTCCCCCTGGTAATTCTGTGCGGGCCGCAGCTTGTAACTTAAACTGACTTGAGCGGCTTCTGTGTTTGGGGCACCTCAGTGCCTCGTCCTTCAAAATACAATTAGATGTTGCTGTGAAACTGCCTGGCGGGGAAAAAAAATCTGTATTTATTTATTTATAATGTCGATTTATAAACCACCCTTCTCTGAGTTCACAGAGCTCAGGGCAGTTAACAACTGAAAATCTATGCAATTTAAAATCCAAGAATTAAAATAACTAAAAACGTTTTCAGGTGGCACTGAAATCTATTTAAAGGTAAAGGTAAAGGTTCCCTTGCTCGAAAGCCAGTCGAATCCGACTCTAGGGTTGCGGTGCTCATCTCCGTTTCAAAGCCGAAGAGCTAGTGCTGTCCGAAGACGTTTCCGTGGTCATGTGGCCGGCATGACTAAACACCAAGGCGCACGGAACGCTGTCACCTTCCCACCGAAGTGGTACCTTTTTATCTACTTGCAATTTCTTGCTTTCGAACTGCTAGGTTGGCAGGAGCTGGAACGAGAGACGGGAGCTCACTCCGTCATGCGGCACACTCGGGGCTCGAACTGCTGAACTACTGACCTTCCACAGCCTGCAGTTCAGCGTCTTAACCACTTGAGCCACCGCAGCTCCATGAAATCTATTTACAGATTGCATTACCGTCTCGCAAATAGATGGAGAAAAAGCAGGGTGGGGGAGGGGGAAGGGAGGGCCAGATGAGATGAGACCCGTCGCTGCCCTCAGCCGAAGGCCCGGCGGAACTGGACCAGGTCCCACAAGGCACGGGTGCTATTTGGCGGAGAGTTCCACCAGGTGGGGAGGACAGCCGGACATCTTTTGGGATCGGGATCACCAGTAGGTGGTTCTCGGCAGAGCACAAAGCTCTTTGAGGGACATACCAGAGGAGGTGGCCCTGGAGACATGGCAGGTTAGAGCTCTCTGCAGCTTGGCTCGAGAGCTGGAGTGAGGAGGGGGGCTCCCAGCATCCACTGTGCTACAAGTCTCCATTGAGGCACTTGGCTGTGGTAAGTGCCTTCCAGAGGTGTTCCACGTGCTGTGTGCACCGTCTGTCCACACTCTTGCCAGTCTCTTCATTGGACTTAAGGGACATGTGAGAAAATGATATGATCATCTCCGGTGGCAGAGGGATTCCATTAAACAGCCGGATTTTCTCCATGAGGAAGAGGCTGAGGCCGTCTTCCAGGACAGCCTAGACAGAGTCAGTATAGTTCCCTCCCACCCCGAGGAACATGCTGTGTTGCTGTGGTGAAATGAGGTGCCAGTCATCTGGATCCGTTTGGCCAACAGCAGCACCTTGCGCTGTAGCAAGACACTGCTTGGGGCAGGGAACGTGCCACTGTTACCAGAATGGATCCGTGGCATTCAGCCACGTGTAAGTACAGATGGATTTGTCAGCATCTGATTGGACACTTTCCCCTGAAAATTCCACACAGGGCAGAGTTCACCCTGGACTTGCACAGAACACCGGGAATAGAGGTTGCTTATTCCGAAATCCCTCTCCTGATCGTATCTTCAGAGAGGTTTCTTGAAGTGCCCTCTGGGTAACGGGAGCTGTGGTTGCAGGACTTTATATAATTTGACCAGTATAGTAATAGTAGAAAGTCAGAGAAGCACCACTAACATAACAGTCTCTCTGGAAGTATATTTGGCTCACAACAGCTGACTATGTTGGGCCCATTTAAGTGGCTCATTGGGAATTCTGAAAACAAAAGTTATCTGTGCCGGGTCCTGTTGGGGTTACACATTCTGCACAATCTGGGATGTGTAGCAGTAGCAAAGTGCTGGAATATCCTCCTGAGCCATTGTCCCCAGTATGATCATGCATTCATTTTATTTATATCTCATCTTTCTCACTTCTGATCTTTAGGAGGCCGCTGAAGAAGGTTTTATTTAGGGCTGCATTTGGCTAAGTCTAGTAGCAGTCCTGAGTAGTGTTTTTAAATTTTGGTTTTATGTTTTCAATGTATTTTTTGTTGTTCTGTCTGTGTTTGTCAGCCACCTTGAGCTACATAAGGCAGAAAAGTGGCTAATAAATTGTTTTAATCAAATAAAGCACAGAGTATTTTCCTGTGGAATTCTTTTCACAACTGTTGGCATCAGAGCATCTCAGCAGTTCCGTGGACTCCCTCCCCAGCCCATAGCTGATTAGTTCAGAATTTGTCCAAGGCCTGACTTAGCACCTTGGAGTTCTAATATGAAAAGATGCATGCAGATGTGTCAGCCCTTGAGGGACATGCCTCTTGTTCTTCTTGTTGCAACAGTTTAACAAAGGCTCCTTCAACAGAATCTGTTCAACGCCTAAAATGTCCCACCTTTTAAACTTTTGCCTGCAGGTGCAGAATGCGAGTGATTTGCTGATCAAGCCTCTGGAAAACTTCCGGAAGGAGCAAATAGGACTCACCAAAGTAAGTCTTTCCCCCCACCCTCTTGATTAGTAGCCCAAAATTAAATCTCTTGCACACTAAGATGTTGGTAGCTTGGGCTTCCGGTCGAGCTAAGATGGAGGACTGACGCACTTTCACTTTTGTGCGAAGTGGGCGACGGCCGCTTTCGACAGTTTGGGCAGTTTCTAGCCCAACGCATCGCTCCCCAGCGAGGGGGGGGAACAAGCAGGCAGCAGCGCCTAAGAGGGAGTGTTAGGTTGGCGTGATTCCGCTTCGGAAGAAGCGAAAACAGGCTTTGATCTCCTCCCGCGAAGAAGGCAATTGCCGAGCAACTCTCCAGCAGCCGTTCGGGCCGGTGTACCGGTTTAAATTCTCCATCAGCCGACCTCTTGAAGATGGGCAACAACAGTGAGTGAAAAGAAGCAATGCGAAACCCGTTTTGATCGCGTAGATAACAATAAACGTGCCGCTTACCTGAACTGTGATAAAAAACAAATTGAATTAAGCGGTTGAGCGGATAAAGAATTAATATTCCCAGAACTCTGATTCCGGCAAAGATATAGTTGATTGAAGGCTATAAAATAGCAAAAAAGCATATTGTTTAACATTCCTGCGGTGAGATCGGAGAAGTGCGC